CTTGAAAGAAGAAAGCTTCAAAAAAACACCTCTGGCTTTCTTGGCTCTCAGCATCTTGAAAGACAAGCAAGAGCATCTGATTGCAGGAAAGTAGAGCCCAGCTCCTCAACTCTCATTGCCAGGGGCAATCCACTGGAAGCAAAATCCTCCATCTTGAAAACGCCAAGGGGAATGATAACGTCCAAGCTCGCGTCCCAGTGACTCCGCATCTCAGGGCTCTGACCCTGAGGGAACGTTAGTAACAACTGCCCACAGAGGCCCTGCCCAGCAAATCAGCCGATCAAGTGGCAAAGAAGACCCCCTTCTAATACCTTCCCTCAGTGGGTGTCTGCCCTGCAACCTCAGGCAGGCTCTGCTGCTGCGCCCTCTGCCAGCCTCCCTAGGGTCCTTGCCTAGGGCAGCCAACGCCCAGCTCATGCCATCCCTGTTCCTTCCTGGGATGAACACACTCACCTCTCAGTGATGTCTTCCCATCCTCTGCTTTCTCAGCCTCCTTCCTCTGCCAGAGCCCACCCTGGCTGCCCAGGTCCTGTCGCAGCCCCCCTCCCCCCGCCCCGCTCCCTATCACCTACCTCCCCTTGCTGTGGCTGGGCAAGGCCTGGACTCCACCTGTGCTGAAAGGGCAATGCCAGAGGGGAGCCTGCAGCAGGGAGAACAAGGGCAGAGCTGTTGGGGATGACCTCAGAGGCTCCTGGGGGTTGTGCGAGGACACCAATCTCTCCAAAGGAGTGATGCCTCCATAGGCTGAACTGCGGGATATGAAAAGCCTATAGGGACGTATTCTAGTGAGAGGGTGAAGCAGCTCCATTTAAAATGTCACTGGTTCCCCTGACTGTGTCAATCAGATTCTGTCACATTTAAAACATAAACCAGACAGCCCGCCGGGGAGCAGCACCAGCCCAGCTCATCTCCTGCAGCTGCCTGTCCCCTCCTCACTGGCCAGTGACACTTGCCTGTCCTGCTTTGTCCTAGAGGCAGCCAGAGGATCTGGGTCAAGCATGCGGCTCACCCTTGGAGCCCCCAGAGGCAGGACAAATGCTGTTCTACCCCACTCAGCACTGTACCCCAGGGCACTGCGCTGCACTGCAGCCCCTCCCAGGGCCGCTGACAGTGGGTGGGTGGGAAGGCGGACAGGCTGCACCAGGTCTGGGTGGACTGATGGTACGGATCCCAACTCTAGAAGGAATTCTGCCTTTTCCCAGGGTGAGCAGGAGAACAGGCACCCACAGTACCCACCAGCAATCACCTACCAAGCCAGAGTGAGAACCTGGTCACCAGTTCACCCACACAACTCAGCATTTGAACCTCATCTACAAAGTTCACCCCTCTTCCCCACCACACACATACCACACACACACACACACACACACACACACACACACACACACACAGGCTTCTCCTCTGGCCTTTACTCCCTACAGAATTTATTCTCTCTCTACAATTAGATTTGTAAGCCTAGTGGCCTCCAGAATCTTCTATCCCTTTACCAGCTGTCACCTGACTATAAGGTATAGGAGTGTACACCCCAGCAGTTAAGCCTCTCATTGGTAGGCTTAACTTTTCAAAACCACAATGGAGTTTTAAACCTAATTGTGCCTTTTCCTACTTGAAAATTTTATTTCCATATCAATGGTTGATGATGAGGCCACATGCAAATTCTTGATGAAAAGTATATCACTCAGGCAAGGCACAGTGGCTGACACCTGTAATCCCAACACTCTGAAAGGCAGAGACAGATGGATCACTTGAGGCCAGGAGTTCAAGACTAGCCTGGCCAACATGGAAAAATCTGGTCGCTACTGAAAATACAAAAATTAGCCAGGCATGATGGCACATGCCTATAATCCCAGCTCCTACCAGTCTGGGCAACAGAGCAAGACTCTGTCTCAAAAAAATAAAAATAAAAAGAAGAAACAAAGAAAAGTATATAATTCAAGTTTAACCAAAGTTGAAATATTTGTCAGAAAGTGTTTCAGGAAAAAAAAAAATCACATTTCTTTCCTTTGGCAAAAATTATCTAGCAGGAAAAAATACAGAATACAAGATTTTATGGTCAAATTACAAAACAATAACCAGGCGGGACACAGTGGCTCATGCCTGTAATCCCAGTACTTTGGGAGGCCAAGGCAGGTGGATCACCTGTGGTCAAGAATTTGAGACAAAAGCCTTGACTACACGGTGAAACCCTGTATCTACTAAAAACACAAAAATTAGCTGGGCATGTTGGCACGCGCCTATAGTCCCAGCTACTCAGCTACTCAGGAGGCTGAGGCAGGAGAATGGCTTGAACCCGGGAGGCAGAGTTGCAGTGAGCCAAAACTGTGCCGCTGCACTCCAGCCTGGGCAATAGAATAAGACTCCATTTCAAAATATATAAATAAATAACCAATCTAGGATAAAATGAATTAATTTGATCCCACTTAAAAGTATTAAAGAGTGCAGGACTCTCAAACCAAATAAAAAAATCAGACTGTGATTTTTTTTTTTTCATTTCCAGTGTTTGATCAGGAGTTTGCTAATATTTAATCATTTCTGCTTTATTTCAAAGGGAATTTGTGTGCCTACTTCCCACCTAATGTCATCAATATCTGACCTCTGAAAATTAAAATCGACACTTCCTATGCTTCCCCTCTTGCCAGCATTCCCAATTACACTTAGGACCAAATTCAGCTGTGGCAGATGCTCACCTGCCCTATGGCTAAAAATAGCTGTCATCGATGTCAGAAATGGCAAATGTTCCCTCTCTCTGCTTAACGGCCCATTAGGCGGCTTTGTGAAAGAGGCAGATGAATCCCTCACCAAAAGGTGGCCTCAACTTCACCCACACCAAGTGCCCGAGACCTTTTCATGTATCAGTCTTTGAGATGGCTTTTATCAGTTAAAAATAGATCTGTCACCCCAATTCACAGCATAGGCTGCACACTAGATTTTGCAGAACCCAACAGCACTACGGTTTGGGAATAAGAGCCTGGAGACATGCAGGGCTCAAAGAAGACCCCACAAACCTTGGCGTTATCCTCTCCTCTCTGTCTTTGCCAATGCCTTGTGACATGTTTCCAGCGATGCCTCCCTAGGTAATCTCTTTGAATTCTAGGTATCTGAAGTGTGTGCAGTCAAAAGAGTTCTACTAGATTTCCCTTGAAGTGGTATCTGTGAAATTTACACTAAAATAATTTTCCTTCTTGCTAAAAAACTTCCAAATTATCTTAACTGCTTAAAGCGATTCTGCTATATTGTAATTATCACATTGCCTTGTAATTACTTGGATTATGAATGTCTCTACCCATCCCCTACCCTCCTCCACCCCCAAACTTGAGCTCCTTAAAGAGCCCTCTGTGGCCTCGGTATCCACTGACACAAAAAGAAACAGGGTAACTTTGGTTAAATTGAGTTAATTTGAATTGAAGCTGTTATGTCAATAACTTCTTCCTTCTTAGATTCTGAATCCTATTATGAGCCCTGTAACTTAAGTTAGATTTCAGTGGTTAATCAACAGGATTTATCAATCTTGAACATCCCTTCTAGGCTCCTAAGAAGAAACTACATTAGACCAATACATTGTGGGAAATAAGGAGTCATTGTATATTTCTACATGTTAATCCTTACATGTGTATCTCCAAAAGCAAATTGATAACCCCGATGCCTAGTGTCTCTAAGGCAAATATAACACTGAAATTAAATATGTGGCATGCTTAGCTCAAGGCCAGCATGTGGGAACCCTCTTTGAACATTAGCTCTCTGTCCCCATGTGCTGGTTACAGTCTCTAGTAATGGATAAAGCTTGTAGGGGAAACAGTCTGCTGAATGCTTTCTCATCCCTTGGTACCTGCTCTATCATTTCAGGCCAGGGGTATTTAGTGACAATCATCTGGACACACAGCCACAGTATATTTCTTGAAACCAATGAATGATTTTTCTGTTTGATTTTACTTGTCTCTTTCACCTCCCATTCCTACTCCCAGTTGTGGCGCTTTAATTAAAGCCAATCCCAAAAGTAGAATACACCTTCTGGGCCTAATCCACCCAAAAGATAACTAGGCTCCAAGAAGGGGAAGAGAGATGTTTCCCACCTAGAGATCTATCATTTTCAAAGTTTACCAATTAAGGGATCCTTACTATTAGGAAACAATAAAAGACACTTCCTTCACATATAAATGTCAACCGAATCTAAACCTTTCAAAATCTGGTGAAAAAAGATGGACTATGAATGCACGACAAATCAACAGAGGCAGCATGAACTTGCTGACAGTAAGAATGTGTCAGCTTGAAGAACTGTGCCCGCAGGAAGGAGAGCTCTCCCGCCACAGACAGGCAGTGTATCCCAATGGAGCAGAAAAGTAAAAATAGCCAACAAACTCTGTTTGCTCATTAAGTCACCCTGTCGTTGTCATTTAAGTCTCTGAGGATCCCTGGCCAAGAAATGCCCTAACGAATGCATGCAGATATTCTGACCTTTGCCAAGGAATTGCACATGAACCAGGGTTCCAAAACCTATCACTTGAGGGTAAACAGTAGCTTTTAAGACCAGATCCTACTTCTCAGTGACCCATCCAGACGCAAATCTCCAAGGTGATGCATCCTGCAACCACCAGCTGGTCTCAACCTTTACAAATGCAACCCAAGGGACTAACAGGTTACCACAATAATATTCCAAGCAACTTGGAGACAGGCTGGAATTATTAATAAATCCCAAGAGTTGGTTAAGTCAGGTAGGTGAAATCTTACGTACCTACCAGGGTAGTGAAATAAGATAACTAGACAATGGCTACTTGTTTCTGAAGTTTCAATAGTTGGCTCTTTCTTTGATTTTAGAAACAAACTCCCCAAATTTACAATGCAATCAAAACCAACTGAGGCAATTCTGACCCAAAGATATTGGCACTTTACGGAACCATCTCAATGTTCTGAGACCATCCACAGATCCCAGAAGGAGGCATAATCCAACCCTCCAATTCCTCTAAAGGAGACAATCACAGTCACCAAGACTCAGGTGCACTTACGTAGGGCATGCCACTCATCCTGACGGATGGTCTTCGTGATGTTGAAGGTGAGGTTCCTGGGGATGGTTGCTGAGGAGTAGTGGTATTTGATGTACGTGCATCGCTCAATTTCTCCTGAAAAAGAGAGACAGGAAATGAAATGTTAAGGAAGAAGCAACCACATCTGGAATAGCTCTGGAATTAATTTTCCCATCCTGGGGAAGAAGACTTGTTTGATATTGGGCCTGGTGACAACTACAGAAAGGCAATACCTTCACTCAAAAAGAGCAATAGAGTAAAACTACAATCAAATAGCATCGATTTAGATGGAAAAATACATCTCTGGGATCACGCAGAGGTGGGAAGAACCAGTGTTTAGGCTGACAGCAGCTTGTCTAACATTACCAAGAAAATCAACTTTCAAGTCAAGAGAGAAAGTTTGGCATCAAAACACATCGTTTCCAACCAGGGACCAGCAGAGAACAGGATTTGTTAAGCCTTAATGATACCATTTGTGCTTTGAGCACACACAATTTTCTGGAATAGTGAGCTGGGGGATTGTGAGGGGGCCTCCGTCCTCCCAACCTCACCTCTGAACACAAAGCACTCAGATAAATCTGTGACTCTTTGAGCTAGTCTCCAGATTTCTTGAACAAAACTTAGATTTCTTAACAGACTCAACACCAGTCAAAGCATGCTTTACTAGTCAATTGTCAAAATGTTTTTGGCAGAGATTCTGAAAGTATGGTCCCAAGGCCGGCAACATCAGCATTCCCTAAGAACTTGCAACAAACGCAACTTCTCAGGCTCTCAACCCCAGACCTGCTGAGTCAAACTAGGAAGTAGAGCCTGGCAATCTGAATTTAAATAATCCCTCCAGGAATTTTATTACAAACTTAAGTTTGAGAACCGCTGGTTCAGAGAAGCTAACAGAATTGCCAATGCGTTAATGCATAAATCCACACTGTTTGCCAATTCCAAAAGGAAGGCACCACGGGGAGCTCTTCCCCCATTACTTTTGGTTTCTTGCAGCTATTTCTATTGACACTTGCTCATCTGGGGGATATAAAGACTCAATGTCAGTGCATTCTGAAGAATCAGGAAAGGGGCGATTTTTAAAGGCGAGGGGTTTTAAATTTTGGTTTTGTGCCTGAATGGATTTTGATGGTAATCCATTTTGCACCCCACTGATTTTCAATTTATAAGTGGTGGCACATGATTGAATTGTTTGACCCCCTGGCCCACTGTCAGCAGGGAACCTGGCAATTGGTGAAGTGCAATTAGACAGTGCCTCATGAAACTGATGCCTTATTATAAATCATATCTGGACAACTGCCCAGGTGCCAGTTATTGGCGGGCGCTCCTCCAATGAGACTGACGATGTCCAAGAGGCACGTTCTAGAGAGTGGTAGGTGCTCTTCCTGTGTCTTCAATTTTTCAACTTTTCTGCCTCTTTTCCTTTAGCCCACAAACATCCTGAAGCCTCTCACATGCCCCCAGCATTCCCCCTAAGCACGCCTCCTCCTCTTACCTTCATCCTGTCATCTTCCTTCCTTAACTTGCAAAACTTGTTGAAAAAGGAGTCTACCAGACAGTCTCCACTTCCCCATTCACATTCACACCTCCAACCCCACACGTTCTAATTTCCATAACAATTTCCATTAATAGCATCACCTCCCCTCCAGTCTACATCATAAATCCTGCAGTCATTGTGAATGCTGCCTCCTCCTCAAGGCGGCCCCTCCTTCCTGACAGCTAGCTGGTCGCCAAATTCTGCCAGTTCTACTTGAGAAATGTCCCAGGAGTCCAGGCCCTACTCTCTGTCTCCTCTCCTCCTGTAGTAGTCGTCCTGATACAATGACTATCTCAACCAGTAACCACATTACTAAAGGATTTACGAGATAGGAGGGACTCGGCAAGGCTCTGGAGACCACTGGTTTCCAGCTTTATTCATGCTATGGCGCACACACAGAAGATGTTTACAAGGCACCCTGGAGTGAAGAGATGATGCTGCCCATGGCTCTGTCCAGGCTTCTAGGGTGCTGAAGGGACCAAGGTTTCCAACACACCTGGAACCTATTTATGGGTTCTGGACTTGGTCCACCAGCAGGAAATGCCATTATGGATACCAACTCATTTAATCATTCAGTCCATTGTACAACCAAATTAAGTAGGCATTATCATCCTCATCCCTATTTTTTAACGAAAAAGTGGAGGCATGAGAAGATTAAATGACTCACCCAAGGAAGTAGCAGTGCCAAGATCAGAACCCAGGACCAGAGAGTCTCCTCTACCAGGCCACCCTCCCATGTGGAGTGTATTCCATAAAGGAAAGGAAAATATGATAATGTCACACTCCGTCCACAGGCCCTCCGTTGGCCTTCTTATACACAAGATAAACCCCACATTCCTCAGGCATCAAGTCCCAGCTCCCCTCAGGCCCCAGCCTTCACATGCCCCAGGCTCCAGCCAGGGGAACCTCCCCACCTTACCCTGAAGATGCCATATTCACTCCTGACTTGGCATCTATTCTCCTCCCTGCCTTGCTTTTCTTTAGGGTGAGCCAACACCTACTCATCCTAAGAGACGGCTCAAACAGCAGCTCCTTGGCAGAGCCCTCCTGGCATCTAGAATGGCACTCCAGCAGCAGGTGTTTCACCAGCAGCTTCCCTGCTCTCCTCCCCGCTCCCCTGTGCTTCCGTCCTTCCTGCAGCAAACACACTCCTGCACTGTGATTTATCTGTTTACACGCCTCACTCCCCCACTAGATTATGAGTTTCTCAAGGGCAGGGATGTTGTCTTATTCATTCATCTTTATCTTCCCAGCCCCTAGCACAAGGTAAGCACCAATAACATGTGCTTTGAGGAAAGGAATGAGTAATATGAGGTGTTCTTTGTAAGACTGCAGTGGGCAAAGAATCCAACTGCTTTTATTACATGCAAGGAATTAAAATAATTGAGGCAAATTAGAATCTAATGAATTAAAGGAGGCGATTGTTGCAGAACTGTGTATCTATAGCAAACGCCTCCTCCCTGCCTGGACAATACAAGGAGAGGCTTATTAATCACAGTGAGGTAGAAGAAATCTGTATATGGTCACAGAACACTGTCTCAATGTACTTGGTAAATGTAACCCCAGGGGCAACCAGGTCAATGATTTGGGGGGAAAAAAGGAATAAAAGAAAGAGGAAAGGAAGATATAAAGGTAGAATGTTGTAACAAGAATACCATCATGCCTTGGACATGTGCAGTCGGGCAGGTTGTGTCCTGCATAAGGGCACTTCCCAGGGATATGTGGACACTGAAACCCAACTGCTGCTCTGCTGGCCAAGCCTTGCACCCCGGTCAGGGGTGTTGGAGGCTCACCCTGCCAAAAGGGCTGCCTTTGTCTCATTTGCACAATGGTGCCTTCTGAGGTAGCAGCTGCCGTACCTGCAATAATTTCAAGATTCAACAAAACAGCTCCAAGACCCAGGCTTGGAACACAAAACCAGGTCCCACTGGGGATGGCCAGATTGGTGACTCACTCTTGTGTGAGAAAAATATCTGATTTCTTAGCTCAGGTCAGATTCTCTCAGCCTCAACACAAACTCAACAAGTTGCCACTGGTTCCAGGCAGGCTGGAGCCAGCTCCCTTAACCTCCTTCAACCGTAGCCCACCCAGCCAGAGAGGGAAGAGGCCCTTGACATTCAGCAAGAGCAAAAAGCCAACCCACGGGCACTGCAGGTGACTGGCCGGGGAGCCTGCCTGGAGCAGCCACAACTGCCCCGCTGGAGGCCCTCGCTATTTGCTTTGCCTCTGGGATTGCAAGCATCCTGCCTCTGACGGCAATTAAATTTGAAAGATTCAAATATTGCCTGAAAAGAAAAGCAAAATATTTATCCATGTGCCTGTAGGTCCTGTCAGTGTGCTGGGCTTTTGTATATACAGGAACCATCTGGGCACTAAATATGTACGCTCAGAATGTGGGCTTCCTAATACAAACAAGTTTTCCTGCAGCACCCGGTACAGAGGGGCTACCTGGAAGGCAATGGAGAAGTCCATGGCCTCACCGGGAAGGAAGGACAAACCCCCCTGCACCAAACTCCTGCATTCTAGCCCCGAGTCTCCGTTCTCCCTCCAGAAGCCTCAGGTAGGGGAGGACTGGCTGGTAGGGACTCCATGGGTGGCTCCTTCCTGTGGCCCCTGTGGGGGACTTAGTTAGTTAGTTAGTTAAAAGAGACTAGTCTCACTATGTCACCCAGGCTGGAATGCAGTGGCATAGTCAGAGCTTAACTATGCTTGGAACTCCTGGCCCAAGTGATTCTCCCACCTCAGCCTCTGCAATAGCTGAGACTACAGGCACATGCCACCATGTCCAGTTAATTTTTTTTTTATTTTTAGTAGAGATGGGGTCTCACTATATTTCCCAGGCTGGTCTCAAACTCTTGGGCTCAAGCGATCTGCCCACCTCAGTCTTCTAAATTGCTGAGATTACAGGCATGAGTCACTGTGCCCAGCCTTTTCTTATGTTCTGTAGTGATGGGAGTCTCACTGTGTTGCTCAGACTGGTCTTAGATTCCTGTGCTCAAGTGATCCTTCCACCTCTGCCTCTCAAAGTGCTAAGATTACAGGCGTGAGCCACTACCCCTGGCCTGGCGGGACACTTTAAACCCTCAGTCACGCTCTGCCTTTGGAGCTAGTGACCCCTCCTGCCCGTATGTCAGGGTCATAGCAAGACACAGGTAATTAAGGAGAGTTTCAAAAAAGGACAGTTTAACCCAGCAGCAAAAGAACAACCTGACTAAAAAAACGGGGAAAGGATTTGAACAGACATTTCTCCAAAGGCAATTACATTCAAATGTCCAGCAGGAAACGTTGCCCACTATCACTAATCATCAGGGAAATGTAAATTGAAACCACAAGGAGATGTTACCTCATACTTGTCAGGATGGCTATTACCAAAATAAATAAATAATACTGTCGAGGAGGTGGAGAAAGCAAAACCCTTGCATACTACTGGTGGGAATGTAAATCAGTTACAGCCACGATGGGACTCAGTGTGGGGGTTATTCAAAAAATTACGAATGATCCAGCAATCCTACTTCTGGGCCAAATCCAAAACAATTGGAATCACTATCTCAAAGAGATATCT